TATTCTAAGAAGAAGAATGAAAAGAAATTGAAGATAAGTAAAGATGTGTGAATTGTTCATTTATTTCAAGTATTTATTTTAAGAGGAAAATGAGCAAATACATCCAATTTCAAGGTCCACCTTGGCTAATTTCCCAGTAAATTTCTTTTGAAATGTGCTTTTACCCTAAAAAAGGTGGATCTTGGGGGGGGGAATGCATATATATATATATATCCGGAATCTTGGGAACCTTGGGGAACCTTTGTGAGTACTGGGGAGTGAAATGGAATTATGAATTTACCTAGCCCTGAGGACCTTCTAAAGTTCCTTGTTTTTGCCTTTGGAGGGTGGGGGTTTGAGGTTGCAGCATTTCTGATCCGCATTAGAAGTCCAAGTCACAAGCTGGAGACTGCCCCTTAAGAACCTCAGCATCATACCAGTTTGTCCACTTCATTGTCCGTTGCACTTCCGGTCCATTAACCATTTCTCCTCATGACTGAGGAGAGTGTTGTTTTTGGTGGTGGACCCAAGCAAAGAGATATTCGAACTTCAAAGCCTATAAGCACAAAGAAGGATGTAATCCTATTCTATTTCGTGGACTATAGCATCCCCAACGAAATCACGACTCTCATTGAAGCAGCTCGAATTGGAAGACATTGACCTCCATGCGGAATACCAAGTAATAAGCAACAAGAACGTGCATAGGAATTTCTCCAAAAGGGGGCCTATCCTGAGAACTTATTGGTGATGGGGATTATGTAGAGGCCCATGGCAGGACTATGCATAGGGGCATTTTCCTTGGCCATTGCTACCCAGCTGAGATCCAACAGCTTTCGCTGCCGCAACTCAAGTAGCAAAGTCACAGCCCTCCAAGTGACAACTACAGCCGATCGACAGGCTCTCCCTGCTCAGTCTCTTTTCCGAAGCGGGTGAACCATCCAGTGCAGGAGCCGCTAGCGATTTAAGGCACGTGTAAATCTGCCAGATGCCCTTAAAAGACGACGTGAGCCAAGACCTTTGACCCCGGCTCAGTCCATGCTTTTGCTGGTCCTGGTCATCCAGGCGTTGGTGTGAGTGCATATTTCCCTCGTTGAAATGACGGCGTCTGTTTCTTTGAAATGCGCTAGGTGGCACGATCTTGTTGAATGACTTGTTATTCAACTTGGATGATGGATCGTGTACCTGCACGAGGCTTGATCGCCGGATATGCCAGGAGCTCTTAGTGTGCAGAGGGGTGAGACTCTGCGCTGGGAAGGGGTAGCTTTCTGGCAGGTTGTGATGATCCACATGCTCACGTTCCTTATGTGCTGAAACATGTACCAAGTCCACCAGGGCGTCCTTCCCAGCAGCATTTGCCTGACATAGATGCACGCATTTAGCCTGGTCTCCGACTTATCTACGGGTAGATAGAGATACTGCATTCTTGGAACAGATGTGGGCAGCTATCTAATCTCTTGGCAGTGGCTCCAGCAATGTCATTTCTGCCGGGTCCACTGAAGAATGCGGAGATGAACCTGCAAAGTCACAGAAAGACTCCTGAGCAGAGTTGTTTTGAGGACAGCAAGCCTGCCAGCATCAATACTAGGATATTATTACATCATGTATGAGCACGAAATCTTCATGCGGTCGATTTACGTTCCGCAAGCTATTGTATAGCCATGTTTGCTCTTTGCAGGTCATCTCAGCCTATGCCCAGAAATACTCAGAACGCGTAGATGGAGTGGCTGTGATAGTCAGTGACCTGAATCTCTGCTGCAGCACGCATGCGCCTGCGATACCGCTGTTGACTAGCAACTTCTGTGAATCTATGTGCTACAAGCATGCATGCGGCCTAGAGACTCAACCTAGACTGTTGCAAGTCAGCTGACACTGGATTACACTTCTTGGTTGCCTAAAACTCAGCAAGCTCTGAGGGCACCACCACAATCATGCCGCTGGCATTGACAGCGATGCCAGCGGGGGACCTTGTGCCAGCACTGCACGCAGTGACAATGCCCAACTCGCGCTCTCACCGAGAAAAGTTGACTCCGCTTTGGTTTCCTCACGCAATCCATTGCGGACGTCATTACAAACTGACTCTCGGCATACTTTACAAGGAAGCTACAAGGCCATCCGTCAAATCAAGCTGGTGCTTGCAGTGCTTGGTTGCAATCTGCGGCTTCTTGCGGTTATGTGACCTCTTTTGCAGTTCCGCATGACAATGAAGGGTTTATGGGCAAGTTTCAGGGAGATGCACAAACCCCAAGCCCTCAACTTGGGCCGTTTACCTATGACTGTGATGGGCGGCGCTTATCAACCTCGATAGCGGAGGTTGACCCAGTGTGCCTCCCTCACACGGCAACGGATACAATCGGTGGAAGTTGACTGGACCTCTGCATGGGGGGAGCGCCGAGACAAAACGGCTTGAACACAGCCGAATTGAACAGATCTCCAAGCCTCCTAGGGCTGGCCCAAACCAGCTGACCTCCAGCTCGGCTCCTACCCCCAATGCCTGGTAGAAGCTCTTTGCACACAAAAGGTCTTGAGTTGTGGAGCGGTGGGTTACTCAAAGGGCTGGTCTCACAACTCTATGCGAAGCAAATTTAGGTGACTCTCTCATCTTGGACGGCGTGGGCCGGAAGAAGATGTTTTGATGGCCTTGCACTCTCGGCCAGCAGCGCTGCGCTGCTGCATCAAATTGCAGCACACCTTGAACCCTAAACCTCGAGCCCTCACCTGCAAGGCCCAAGCCCTAAACCCTGAGATCCCTGAGCTGCTGGCCGTAGGCCCTGCCATTCCTCGGGCTTCTCGACCTCATCCTCGCCGTCGGCCGGAGGCGCCTAGCACACGGCTCAAGCATGGGAATCTGCGGATTAGGGGTCTAGGATGGTCTAGGGTTTTAGGAGCTCAGGGTTCAGGGCTCGGTTCGGAGGCCCAGGGTTCATGGGTCTAGGGGCTCAGCATTTAGCAATTCAGAGCTTGGGGTTAAAGGGGCACATATGTGCGAAGCACTATCAAGAGACAGCAACCTGAGGACTATGGCTTGTGCCACCACCTCCAGCAACAGCACCAGCCCCAGCAAAAACACCACCAACGCCACCACCACCGCCGCCACCGCCGCCGCCGCCAACACCACCACATACCGCAACCACCATGGCTCGCAGTACTGAGACAATTACTGCTACCCCTGACGTCTCCTATTGCTATGAGTTCTGCTGCTGCCCGAACCTCTCCCCAAGCACCTGCACCACCAGCACCACTAGCGAGGACTAAACACAAGCTGTGTTCACAAAATTCTGCGCATGAGCCTATGCACGTTTTGCAATTATCCTCTGTCCGGTGCCAATACAGTCGTCTCTTGAAGTTCAAGGCTTGAAGCATCATCAAGGAACTCGTCTGATTGATACCACGTTGTCCTTCTACTCAAGTGGGAGTTTCCAAAGTTGAGGGTCGCATTTTGGAGCCCTTTGTAGATCAAACCACCGAAGAAGCAGTCCCTGCCGGCCAGAGTACCGAGTACTGCGAACAGCCGGAAGCGAGCCTCTTCTTCCCCTTCTGCAAGTGGCTCCTGATCAAGAGAACGGCTGCATGGGCTGATGCTAGCGAAGCTTCAGCCGCATGCACGGCTGAGCTGCCTTCTTCTTCTTGGAGCCGCCCCACTTGTGGATAAAGCTTCCTAAAGAGCAGCACCGCGAAAAATCTGCAATCTGCTTAAGGCATGGTGGGCAACGTCAGCCCCAGACCATCGGCTGCATTGAAGACCTCCAGCAACCACGGGCAGCAGTGCATCCCACAAAAAAACGAGAAGCCAGAATTGGCATGGGAAGCATCGGCAACACAAGTCAGACACACCACAGCCAGCAACGTCACAAAACTGACCAGAAACCGAAAGCTGGCGTAGAACCACCTGAGCTTCCATGACTTCCCGCCTGGATGCGATGGTTCCCCTGATCACAGACGAATAGCGCCTCAAGACGAGCTAGGAAAGTAGGTGGAAAGTACTTGGGCCCGGGGTATGACCCCAGAGCGAGCAACCTAATGCTTTCCTGTCACAGTACAAACATGGCGCCTCTGGCGCAGGCATTCATGTGAAAGCCAGAATGAATTGTTTGCACTTGTCACTCTCCATACTTAAGCAGCATCGAAGTTGCTGCCAATTGAGCTTCAGACATTCTCATCATTCACAGCAATGCCCACAGGGTAGTGGAAGAACCCATCCTCATAAGCAAAGGCAGACAAACAAAAACGCAGCAGTCTCAGCAACGTGTATCACAGCGCCTGACCTTCCTGCCACGAACACCAAACGATCGTAGGAAGCTGCCCTTTGCATCGAAGACCTGCCCATTTGATTTGATAGCAGTCCCTTATACTCTCTGCTTTCCAGCTACATAGCTTTGCATCGATTTCTCTCTCCATGAACCCATCTGACTCAATTTACGCCCGGTGTGAATTCAGGCATGCTGGCACAAGAGACTGCTCATGGAACCTTGAACCAGAACAAGTTCATGCAGCTACGACACATGAAGTTCTGAAATCGGAAATCGGCCTGGATGCGGTTGTTCGCATCCGATCTTAGCAGCAAGCACATACAGGATTCTTTTATGGAGATGGTCCAAAGGGTGAGCCGGTGCAGTAAAAAGGGCTGACGTTTCAAAATGCCGCATCTGCTAATACTCTACCATGACCTCCATGCCTCCAAAGCCCAGCATTGCAATATTGGGGTCATATAGGGGTAATGTAGGGATAATGGAAAAGAAAATGGAAACTACTATAATATTGGGGGCTAATATTGGGATAATTGAAAAGAACATGGGAGGCGCAAGCTGCAAGGCACTGATGGTTGCTGCTCTGTTGGGCAATGCCTGTGGCCCCGCACATCAAGATGTCTCCTGTGCAGGTAATGGTGGCTGCTAGCGGCGAGTCGAATTGCCTGGCGAGCCAGCACAATGCGAGCAAGAACAAAGGCGTCAGGTCAATGGATGTTACCAATGCAGCTTATATATAACCCCAATGTATACCCTATTATAATGTAGTAGTTTCCATGTTCTTTTCCATTATCCCAATATTACCCCCCATATAACCCCAATATTATAATAGTTTCCATTTTATTTTCCAGTATCCCTATATTACCCCTATATAACCCCAATATTACCTCCATATAGCCCCCGTATATAATATCTATAGGGTGAAACCCAAAGCATGCTGCTTTAACAGAAGGTAAAAAGCCTGCAAAGGCACCTGTTCTTAATTTAGTAGTTTCACAAAATTAGGGTTTATATAGGGGTTATATAGTTAATAGGGGATTCTATAGGGAAAATGGAAACTGCTATTTAGGTTCAGGGTTTCCCAAAATTAGGGGTAACTTTTTGGGGGTCCCCATGATAAGGATTGTAATATTTTGGGGTCTGTATTAAGGCTCCCTGATTTTGGGAAATTGCCATTTGAGGCTGGCTGTAACACAGAGCCGTTGCGCACCCATCACCCGAGCCAAAAGATCCGAACCTGGGCTGCGCCAGCACTACAAATGACTGTGGCATAGGTAGATGTTGGCCTGCAAAAGGGGTCTCATAACCTAAGCTGTGATGCCTTAGGATCTCCTTCAGTTTAGCCTGTCGCTCCTGGCAATGTTGGGGCCTGACATCTGAGTTCCGAGCTCTCTCACCACATGAAAATCCTCCATGTCCAAGACCTCTACAAGGTTGCAAGCACAAGGCTGTCCGCGCACGACGTTAGTGTGGGTGGCATGGGTTCCTTGAACTGAACACGGACTTGGGTACTGACCAGCGCTCCTCCCCACTGTCCTTTTTGAAAAGCCTACACTCAGCGCCTGAACACGGTGGTTGGCGGAGTCGCAGACAAGGAGGCAACCTCGCATGTGTGCAATAAACCAGCCCCGCTTGGTCGAATCATTGTAGAGGACTACCATGACTTGAAACGTACAAACAAACGCATAGAACTAGAAATCAGAAGTGAGAGTCAGGGATGCCAGAAATTCTTATCTGTGCCATGGGTAGTTCTCTTATCTTGGCCACCCCTCCAATAATCAAGGCTTTGGGCCCAAGATGAAAAGAGCGTCAGCTTGGGCTCCTCAGCCATTTTGGAGCCGGAGCGTCGCACTGCTTAACTTTAAGCGTGAACTGGGGTGCGAAGCGAGCGCAAATTCAAAAGCCCGTTGCTTCTGGGATCGATTCAATATTCATAAGCCGAAACCGCGCGCTTGTCGCGCTTTTGAACTTTAATGTAGTAGGTTGTAGGGTGTAAGCCCAAATTCAACAGCGTGTTGTTCTTGTTTTCGTTTGGCTATTTCTAAATCCCAACAGGGCTCTTGTTGAACTTTAATTCTAAATTGGGATTTAGGGCGAGCCAAATTCAAAAAGGTTGCGTTTTCGGTGTTACTCATCGGTTTTGAAGCCGAAACAATGCGCCATTGAACTTGAATCCTCAAATAGGGCTTCCACAAGTTCCAATTCACAAGCGGGTAGTCTTGAGGTTATAAAACTGCTCTGAAACTGCTCTGAAACCAAACAACGTGCTTTTGAGCATGAACCCTGAATCGGGGTTTCGGGGTGAGCTCACGTTCAAAAGCGCATGGTTTTGGGAATTGTCTAACTATACGTACAGCCAAACAATGCGCTCTTAAACCTTCGCCGCCAATCAATTAAGGTTACTGGAGAGCCCGAGTTCAAAAACACATTGTTTTGCAGTGATGTAACTTTTCTATGCTAAACTAAAACGCTTTTGAACTTAAATCCTAAACCAGGGTTTAGGTCAAAGTTTAGGTTGAACCCAAGTTCAGAACGTGTTGCTTTGGTACTGCGCAATTTTGAAACCGAAAGGGCTGCCTCTGAACTTTAACTCCAAATCAGATTTAGCTTGATCCAAAGTTTAAGAGTGAGAAGCTTCGGGGTTACTATGCAACTTTGAAACTGAAACGATGCGCTTTGGAACTTTAACCCCGAATTAGTGTTTAGGTTGATCCCAAACTCTAAAGCGCATTGCTTCGGAGTTGTTTTTTCCTTTTTTTTTCTCGGAAGCCAAAAAAAACGCGCTTTTGAGCTTTAAGCCTGAATGAAGGTTTAGCGTTGAGGAGTTAAAGGGCTAGTCAAAAGCATTCAGAAGGCTGAAGTCTTGTGCTGGTTGGGGATATTTGATGAATTTGAAGCCGAAAAGGCTTTCAGAAGTGTCCAGGGAAGGGGAGCTTCAACTCCATGGGTGCCTTGTTGGGCTTTGACGTTCCTGCTTGGCTTCGGAGATTGGTAAGAGTAGCTGCACTTCATTGAACAGCGCTGAGGGAAGCCTAGTTTTGCAAGGAGAAGCCTCTGAAGCCGGAAGCGGAAGCCGCCCAGAGGACAAGTTCAGAAGCGCGCTGGTTCGGATTAATCAGGTAAGTTAAATCTCAATGGCACGCCTTTGAACTTTGCCTTTGGAGGGCTTCCAAGCTTGTGAGCTATAACCCAAAGATTTAAAAGATGCTCCAGCACGACTTTGCCGTTTCGTATTGAACTGATCTCCCATGCTTGGAAAGGAATCTATTTGTTGCTCAAGATGTCCGGATTCATCTGAGCCCTCAGCCGTTCTCCGTCAGGCCCAGGCCCTTGGGGAAGGAGAACTGCCCTGGGCCTCAGTGCCAATGGGCTGAAGGCTCAACTGCATGATGCAGACTGCATCAGCAAGCATGAAGCATAAGATGTTACTTCGGTACAAGCCTTGAGGTGGAGTTACAGCCTTGACTCTGTACTTGCCTGCATTAAGCCGGACCCTTCGTGTGCATTCTGCAGCTGCGAAATGAATTTCTGTTCGCGAGCGGCACACGCAGGTCCGTGCATGTTCCACATGAGTTCTAGTCTAAACGCCTAGGAACCCCTGTAGTAGTCCCATATATAATTCCATGAAAAGAGGTTTGATCATGATTAAAATGTTACCGCCCCTTCGAGGCCAGCGCCAGTACCTTCGCCGCCTACAGAGTGCAGGAACTGCAGATCCCCAGTCCTGCGGGAAATGCGGCACTTCTAAGATGGGGCCCTCAGTGGCAACTGCGTGAAATCCGACACACGCTCCAACTAGCCAAATTGGAGTGCGCCATGCTGCAATGAAACAAAACCCTGCACAAGAATTCTGCTTATCTGCGGCTAGCAGAACGCCAATCCAGTTGTAGGCTGCCCCAACTCAGCTGCAACAGAGGCTTGCTTGTGAATGCCGTTTCCAGCAAGAGCCCAGAAGGTCGTGCAACTCAAGACCGCGCTTCAAAACAGAGGGTTGTGGGACTACGAGTGCTGGAGCCGCTTCTGTAGCTGCCCTCTCGACGCAAATTAAAGCTATGGCTATGCCTATGTTTAACTGAGTCACGGCCACGGATTGTTCAGCAATACTGCCCTTGTAGTTCTGCACAATGGTGTATGGGCAACGTACGTTAAAATCCATATCTTTGCATTGAGTTTTGCTGCAAGGTCGCACAACAGCTAAACATTCTCAGTTCAGATCTGAACAAGCAACTGCAACCTCAAGAAGCCATGGGAGGGTCGTGAATCTGTCCAATTCTACTCTACATGATGATGCAAGGCGCGCGGTGCGCCTGGGATTGAACTCCAAGACCTGCAGGCGGTGGTTCAGAAGATCTGAGACCTCAGTAAACAACCCAAACATGAATTCCTATTAGGGTTTAGGGTTTGGTGTTTCATAAGTTGTTGTTGTTGTTTTTTTTGGGGGGGGAGGGGGGGGTATATGAGGGATACCCACAGCTTGAAAGTTGTCAATTCGACAAACATTTCTCAGCAGCAGGCCACGATTTTGTTCTCGCGGTCTGCCACGATGCCACAAGGCCTGCGCTAGGCATTGGAAGAGACAATGGAAAACTACATTATATTGAGGTATACATATATATATATGTACATAAAAACACATAGAATTGGGTACAGTATGTATACATGTATGTACATATATAGATACATACATATATATATATATAGCTACATATTTTTGGCGTGTGTATATATATATATACACGTACGTCTGCATGTTGCAGCAGCAGTTCAGGATAGAAGAAGACTGACACAAGGCCCTGACGTATCGAAGTGCGATGGACCCAGCCCTTTCGATCCGCAAGCACCTAAAACCTGGCCACTTGAGCGAACTGGCGCATGTGGGGGTTTCATAAAATCAAGGGTGCCTTTTTGGGGGTCCCCATAAGAAGGATTATAACTTTTTGGGGGTCTAAATTAAGTTCCCCCTATTTTGGGAAACTATACCATGCCGAAAGATGTGAGAAAACTGGCCTCCTGAGTTGAGGAATCCCAAACCTGAACACGATGGTTGCTCTGATCGACGATGAAGAAATACCTGGCCCATCGTGACGGTACTACAAGTAGCTCATTGGGGAAACATGGGGAAACACGATAACTCCAAAGAAGATCATGGAGTCTCCTGCGATCTAATTAATCAATCGGCTGCCTGTCCCCTCGGAACCGTTCTTCGGATCAATGGCCTGCCGGTGCGGTCGAAGGCGACTCCGCATGGATGGTGTACGCACCTGCAGTAGTCATTCCATCTGCTAGAGAACTGCTTGCATCTGACATCTGCCGTCCAGATCCCTTTGAAATGCCAGGTTTGGCACCCAATCCGGTCTGGGACGTGGGGCTCGCCTGGACTGCCTGCTCAGGAAGAGGCCAAGAAGGCCAGCACTGCAGAAATGCTGGTTGTGAATGTTGACTGGAGCGCGGGAGCTGCAATATGGCCTGCTTTTGCGCCAGGACCCGTTACGCAAGCACAATGCCCAGCATTCGACTACCAACTCTGACTACGTGCTGCTGGCTTGCCTCAGGCAGAACCAGCTAACCTGCAGCAGTGCAACTCTGAATGCTTGAGACCTGCGGTCATCAAGCAACCCGCGCGACAGTTCTTGTCCTCTTGATTTCGTATTTGGGTTGCTGAGCTTGTGCTTAGATACCCCTGAACCGTTCAAGCGCGGAAAACACTCAGAGCTGGAAAAACTGCGTGCTGCACAGGCTGTCACCTTCCATCACGGCATCTCGGATGGTGATGGCTGCAATGGAGCTTTGCCCCTCTCGGGTTTCGTGCCCTTCCATTTTGCGCACACCTTTGAAAGAGACTTGCTGCCTGCACTCAGGCTGATGTGCACCTGGGTAACGAGCGACGTGCTGACGCATGACATTCTGAAAGTAGAATGGGGCGATGACCGCTTGACAAATTAGTGAAAACAATTGTTCTTCTTGCCAGTTACTTTTCACAACGCTAGTCTGCACTAGTCTATAGTACTCTAACCAATCAACCGTTGCACTAATCATGATCATTCCGGTGAAGCAGAGCTTGCGCTTCTCAGGAACAGGTGCCTTGCTCAGCTGCGGCAGGTGCTCCAAGCTTCGTGCCAGGCTGCTACAACCGTCCTCGCAAGTGGCCCGCAAAAGCTTACATGTAGACCTATCTTGACTTGCATCCCCCGAGGTATCCCGAGGTCTTCTTGGCAGCACAAGACTTTGTTTGAAACCTTCTTCTATGTGCTGCAAGCAGTTGAATGCTGATCGCAGGTGTGAAAGCATTATGGAACCCAGGCTCCAAGTAGATGACCTAGTCTCAGCAGGCTTAGGAAAGTTTCCCGCTTACCCTACACCGGAGTCATGTCTGGCCTCATTGCCCAACCCAGTGACCAGAGAAGCGCACAGCAAAATCCAACGTCTCAGCCTTTGAGCCCATCTTCATTCTTCACTCAAAGGTCTGAGAAGGACCTGAACCCAGCCGCAGAAAGCACGGAGAGCCAAAATACTAATACGCGTGTGAAGACCCTACCACGAAGAAAAAAGAAATGGTCCTCAGAAAACTAGGATGGGAATCTTGGCATCTGGTTGTTATTATCATAGCAGAATCCGAGTTCGTTGTGTCGCTGAGGTTGGCCTGCATCGTTTCGTATCGTTTCCCACAGTATGGGGCCAAAGCAAAAAATCATTCTAGCTGTCGATTATGTCGATTCTTGGCATTTCCAGCACCCTTTGCTTCTGGCCCTTCTTGCTCTGATGCGGGCGTAACAACACCTCCCAAACTTAAGTGTCCCTGTGTGATACCCTGTTGATGCTGCTAACAGCAGCTGCTGGAACACACGCCGTCACCACACCAGCTGGCCTCCGTGATTCCTTTCTGTCCGGAAATGTCCAAAGCCAGGCTCTCCAGCATCGAGGGACCGCTGTGGAGTCCAGCGGCCAAAGCCACAAGTCCTGCGCAATGGCAAGAAGTGCCATCCTTGTGATCTCTGGGCTCAAACAAGGAAGGAATGATGCCAGAAACACCAAAGAGCAATTGCCTCAAAGGCTTGAAAGCATGCTTCTGGAACCTTCCGAGGCTCCCAAGCCAACATTCGGCTTGGAGCTCTCGCATTTCTGCAAACCTTCCGCCAAGTTCACCTTCCAAACTGCCTCGGCCATGGCAAATCCTGCTCCATACCTATCTTCTCCTTGTGGAAAAAGAGAGCTCAGCACAGACTATTGTGGCGTGGCCCGGGGGCAAGGGAATCTCGTGTGACGGACTGCGGAAAACCAAAGCAGGCCAAAGCAAACGTCTTCTTTCCGGCAGTGTTGTGTCTGGCAACAAGCAATGCACTTCACAAAAATGCAGTCCTTCATCGGAAATCGTGGGGCCAGTGGAGAGGCGGAGCTCCAGACGCCGAAGCCGCGTCAGTTTGCCAAGCGCGGCACCCAACGCCACGGCTGAAGCATCCTTGGCCATTCTTCAGGTTACAGACATTGCATACACCTTCATTCATTTCTTTCAAACCAAATGACCCTCTCTTGACTACCTCGCTGTCATCACACGTTTTGAACACATTGTCAAGCCAACAAGACAAACAAACAAGGTGAGAGACTGCAAGAGGCTGCAAGTTGCATCGGCTGTTGCCAGTCAGCGTCTGATCGTGATTGCACTCAAAAGCATGCTTCCGCATAGACGCCATGTTTCTGAAAGCTGTCGGCAGCCCTGGCAGCCGAGGAATAGATCTTGCAGCGACTCGCAGGGCAAGCTCCGTGCCAGGAGTGCCTTGTGTCAGATCTGTCTAGCAGATGTCCAGCATACATGAAGTCATGGAGATGCGGCAGGTGCAGCCAGGAAGCAACATTGGCATCCGTAAGCGTCTTCTGGCAATCGCCACCTGGGCTTTTACGACTTCACCCTAGGCATCCACGGCTGCTATACGGGCTTGAGATCGGCCAAATCCAACTTACTCTCCCAAAGGCCGTCAGTGGGTTGAGCTTGAACACGCACATTGCTGAGACCCTTGCCAAAGTGAAGAGCCAGCTGGGGCAGGCGTGAGCGGCTGAGCGCTTCAGCGTGTCGCATCAAGTCCACACCAACTGAGGCAGCCTTGACGAAGGAGGCCGCCTAGGATGGCAGCTGCTGAATGAATCGATGAGACAGCTGCTCTAGCTCCCTGGTGGGTGCTGTTAGAGTGCCTTGTAGACTGCAGACCTTGCATTGCCTTACTCACCTGAGCAAGTGCCAGGTTGCAGCGAATCGGCCGTGCAGGATGTCGTTCAAGACGTCGTAGGCTGGCCGGGACCCAAAGAAACACATGCTGCATCATGCTGCGCAGGCTTAGCTGCTGTACTCTGCCTAAAATGTCTGGTCATCCGGCCACCATCATGTCATGCGCGTGTGCACTGGCAACTAGTTGCTTCAGACTGTTTGCATCGGTCGGCAAGTGGTGCCACTGCGTGAAGGTGCACATCTTGGATATGCCTTCGTGCTCCAGGGCAGGCTCGGCAGCAAGATCATCCATCTGCGCGATCCTTGGCAGTGTGCAGGAACGGGGCAATGCTTGCAAGCTTCGTGGAAGCAGTGTTCTGGATCCCTCATGATCTCTTACCAAACCTGAGCAAAAAATGAACAACTTGTCGCTGGAGACCATACTGAAAAATCTTGCCTCAAACACACCAACAAAAGATCCTTCGAAAGTGCAACTAGAACGATTTCCCAGCATCGAATTCAGGATCATGCGTCGATCACTCTCCCGACTTGCATCCGCATGCTCCACGCGAATGTCCTTGGCGCTGTCTTGATCTGCAGTAATCTCAATCTGTGCACCTATGGTATTCGCCACCTGAGACCCGGTCGAAAGCCCTCTGGATGAGCTCAAACGGGAAACGGCTTTCCCGGTGGCGCTTCCGCCTGGCCTGCTTGGGTCCAGTGCCATCCGCTGCAATGAATCCTTCGGCGATTCCGACAGCTTCCGTCATCTGCGGATCATTCGTGTAGATGTCAAAGAAGTAGCTTAGGCCATCCAAGCCTGGTTGCAAGCACCAGTCACCGATGGCAATATGGCCTGGACTATGCATGAATAAACATGCTTCCCAAACTACTGAACGGTATCCAATCAAGCCCAAGTGGGCAGGCGTCTGCTTGGAACAGCCCATGCGCCTTCCTGTCCATCTGCCTGCTTCAAGGTTGAAACGTACGTCTCATAGATGCACCAGACCCGCCTCGGCTACAGCAATTAGAGTCCATTAGAGCCTATCTAATCTCAGACATCAGACGAAGGCTTGGCTAAGCCACCAAAACATGGCGGGGCCTCACATAGCCTTCAGACGTGAGGCGTATAGCAGACAGCGCCGCTGTCCAGAATGGAAACAGTACCAGCAGCTCTTCTCATGGCACGTTGAAAACCTGAAGCAATCTGCGCATCGATGGCATCTTTACACGCTTGTCCAGCTGCTTGCAGCCACGAAACTGCTGGTGGCCGGGTCTGCTCCTATCTCTTCATGGACCACCCACTGGTTGTTAGCATACGCGCAGACCTTAGTACGCTGCTGGTCCTGCTGTGAATGCTGGGCTGGAGGCTACCAATCATAATGTTTTATTTGGGGATTTTATGGTACCCAATAATGGAGGATCAAATGGAAAAGAAAATGGAAAATGAAATGGAAATTGGGGTTATATAGGGGTTATATAGGGGTTATATTGGGGTGATGTACATCCAAGATGCCCAGTAAGCAGTGCTCCTCGGGAGATTTCCTTGGCCGCTTGAGAACCCAGCTAAGCAAGTCTTGACAGACATCACCTCGCTACAACTCTTCGGTTGCACGCAAGAAGTATCCAACACAGCGGCGGTCATGTTGATGCTGCCTCAAGCACGCTGCGAAGTCCACGACAGGCTCGCCCCACCTGAGTATCTGAGCAATATGAGCCTGATCACAGCTGCATTGCCTGAGACAACTCAATCTGGAATTACTTTTCTGTGTAACCAGGCTGCCAGTGAGATACGAACCACTGACATGGCTGAGGCGCTTCCTTGGTCGGCATGGGCTGAAGCTCCATGATGAATGGATGCGTGTCGATACGTAGACATGACATGCCCTTACCACAACAGTGCTGCGTAATCTTCGCCAGGCCGCTGCGACCAGCTCCACGAAACTGCAGACGCGGGCAGCGGTGGCCTGTGCTGCATCCACGGGCAAAGACGAAGAGGCTTGAAGGCCAGAGATTCTGAGCAAGTCCCAGGTGCTGGTCGCACTAACAAGTCCATGGTGTGGTACCTGAAAGACACTGCGCAGGCAAAGCTTTCGTTAGCCAGATCACTGAATGCGTGCAAAGTGCAAGTTCACCATGGGCGGCGTCAGCGGACTTCCTCTGCAGTGGCAGTGCTGGCTCCCATAGCTATTTGCTTTGAGGGAATGATTGAATGCCACCGAATCAAAGCGAGCGTATCTATGGGCAAGGGTAAACTAGAATTCGAGCTAGCTACTTAGCTACTTACTTCCAGACAGGCGATACATGTATCATGTATGTGGATTGTCTTTACAAGTCAGAGTCAGACTGCCCTACTTCCCTCCCAAGCACCTGAGTGATCAACCCAGCCATGCCGATCACAACCTCAGCCCCAGCTGCAGGTTCTCTGCGCTTGTGCATAATCGTGATCAAACGAGTGAGTAAGGTTCGGAAAGCTCATGTTACATCAGTGCGGACAACTTTGCGCCCATGTACCCCACTCTCACCCTCATCGAAATCCAAAACTGCCGGGAAGCCCTGGAAGATGCAAGAGATAACCACATTCAGCTGGTTCAAAAGCATTGCCCGTTCCTGCATCGGCACCAATCGACTTGCTGAGGTTCCAAAGAGTGCAGTAGCAATTTGGTTGCAAGCTTCCTCTACCAAAGGAATGCTGCATCCAGCAGAGATTTCGCGGAAGATAGCATGCATCCAGTCTTTCGGATCATCCGCCTCACGGGGGCAGGAATCCTTCACAGGACTTTTTGCCCCGTCAAAGCAGGGTAGAAACTCGCCCTTCGTCTGGCCTGTCCGGGCAAGTTGAGTTCGACCGCCTGTCATTTAGGCGGCGTTGAATTAGGGAGTCCCCTATCGATTTCCACGTTTTGGGGATCTTCTCTTAACCCTTGCTTACATGAAATAAGCCTATAGTTTTAGGACGTCCCCTATCGATCTTGCGGATTTTTGCGCAACAACTACCGCCTAGACTAAATGAAGTAAACGGTAATTTTGACCGCGACTCAATTTGGGGGGTTGGGTCCCCACCTTCTTGCTGCATCCACACACACAACCTGCCTCATCCTTCGTTAGCCATTCCGAGCAACACTCCAAGTTACTTGTGCTGGTCCCACCCTGACATCATGAACGCTCTTGCAGTTGCCAGCACAACACAATGGGTCAGGCAATTGGAGCCTTCGCTTCAGCCAGGGACATGCAGAGCTTCACACAATCCACATGGCCAGCCTGCCAGCAAGCGGTGGGAAGGTTTCTCATGGGACAAAACGCGCTCAGAAAACCCTAAACCCACCCATTACTAGGGTGGTCAGACACTAAAAAAACACGTCAGCCTTGACCCTGGAGGGTCCTGGAGGTGCATGGAGGCCCCTGGAGCCCCCTGCCTTTGAAGCGCTGGAGGCCTGGAGCCTTGGAGGCCCCTGACGATCTTGTTGAGGTGGGAATTGAGGGAGTAGCCTTAAACCCAAACAGGAAGTAATTTGGGTGGTAGCCTGTGATGTCTCAGAGTGGGTGGCGATTTTGAAGAAAGCCCAACTTCGATGGCTTCTTGGGCAACATCCACGAGGTTCGCTGGGCGCAGGATGTGCCGCCACCCACAGATCCCTGGAAGTGGGGTGGCGCCATGGGCGCATGGATATTCAGCCCTCCGCAGTTAGACGCCCTAAACCCTAAACCTCAAACCCAAAACAGGCAGTGTGCCTCAGTCTCAAAGGCTGAAAGCATCTGGCACAGGAGGTCACGTTGCAATGCCCCGGCCCCGGCCAGGCCGAGTGCCAGGAAAACCTCACAGAGCTCCTCAGGCACTTTAAACATGGCAGAATTGGGGGTTTTAGGGTTTAGGTTTTAGGGTGTTAGGCTTTTAGGGTTTAGGGTTTAAGATTTCAGGCTTTAGTGTGTCTGGTTTTAAGGTTTTCGGGTTTAGGGTAAAGTTCTCCCAAATACCCATAATAAAGGCTACAGAATTTGGGGCTGCTACTTCTTGGGCGCAAGATTGCAGGCTCACGCAAGCTCTGGAGCGGGAAGCGGATGGGAAATCAGAATAACCGACTGCCGAGACCCGACATTGCTCTAGACCAGCAACGCTCGCAAATTGTCCCCACCACTGGAAAATGTAGACATGGCGATTAGAGGACCGCAACTTGGCCCAAAGTCCTGCTTCGACCAGGGCCCTGCGCTGCTCAGCACTTCACAGGCCCGGCCGAGGCCCGCATCCATGGCTCAAGCATTAGGCAGAGAGTTGCTAAAGACATGTGCCGTCCAACATCGCGCAGTGATGCCGAAACTGTCCACGCTCCTAAAGTAGCTCAGCAACTTTTAGGAATTTTACATGGCTCGCCGACTGAAACAGCCTTGGAACAGATTCATGCAGGTGCAAGCAATCCATGCCCAAAACCCTCAAACCTGCATTCATGGATGCAAACGGTCCCAAGTCCTAAGTGCTGCCACCCTCGAAAGCTCTGGCCTAGCTGCGCCTTCCCCTCCACTTCTCCTTCCTGGCATGGCCGAGTTGCAGCTCCACATGATCCACATGCTTCCGGAAGAGAAGACTCACGAGGGAGCACTCCAGCCAACGGTCATGTGCAGGCAACTTCTGCTGTGAAATGTTTTTTTGGAAGGCACTAGCCATGTTATGGCCCACCTTGAGCCTGCAGTGTGGAAAGAACTAATCTCTGAGTCTTCAAGAACGTGCCGGGCAGGCAACACCAATGGTGTGGTACACGGTCGGTGGTCTTACCTTTGAGGGTAAACAGCCAAACATTGCACCAACTATGGCAACAAATGTGGTAATTGCACATCGGGAAGAAGATCACTAACCCCATGCGATGACTTTGACAAGACTCCTAGGCAGAGATCTGAGGAAGTGGCCTCGAGAGTGAATGGACATCCAGTAAGGTCCTCCACGTGCGTGTCACAACAGCTTCACCACACGGCGCGTGGAGTCGACAAAGGCTTACTGGAGTTCAGAAAGATGATTCTGCTATAAAATACGTAAATCCTATTATGACATTGCAGTTTCCATGTTCTTTTCCATTGTCCCTATGTAATCGCTATATAACCCAATGGGTAACATTTCTCCTGGCTTGCAGTTCGACCAGGCTACAGTCACACATGAGCTATAACCTAAACTCCTAGAATTCCCCCCTAATAAGCCTAGGGTTTAGGGCTTAGGGTTTAGGGTTTAGGGCTTAGGGCCAATACTTCCCTGTATAATCCCCTACATAACCACTCTTTAAGCAGTTTGGACTATAGCTCACATGATCAAGGACAGCTCGCCTCATCAGCGCCCTCTGGTCCAACAGAAATCTGCAGGTTGAAGCCTCAGCGCAGTTCAGCGACTAGCACATTCACAGCATCAATTCACTAGTGAGCATAGTAATAATAGTAGTCATAGTAGTCATAGTAATAATGATAGTACTAATGGTCATTATGATAATACAGAAAGTAACACATTACGGGCCCCATATTTACAGCACTCTTGTTTTGAGATGTTTTGGTAAAGTGAAGAGCCCTTCATTTGATTGCCATTAGATGCTATATACTTCATATATATATATACATATACAACACTCCATAAAATAGGCATAAAATAGTCTGTAGGGTATACTGGAATATCAATAGGGATTGCCGTCAGATCTTCAAAAGAAGAGACGAGAATTAAATGGTATAGGGCTGGGAAAGCCATGGACCAAAAGGCAAGAGGGCCCCGTCAATTGGCGTCTGGCCTCCACCTTCTCCCTGTCTTTGGCCCAGGACCAAGCAAACAGGCCTCTCACCCTTGATCCTTAGAATCCCATAAACTTTAGAAATATTAAAAATGGTATCATTTAAAGAGCTGATCCTGCTACATCGGATCCTGAGAAGATGCAACGGCCGTCCCAGAGTCCTGCGGCCTGCGAACCATTTTCCTTCCTATTGCTACTATTACTATTACCATTATTGTTACTATGATTACGGTTACTACTATTCCTACTATTAGTACTATTAGCACGATGACTACTATGCGTTATATCGTGGCCTGCCTTGTCGTGGCACTACTATCCAAGGACAGGCAGGCTTTCTGATCACGGCATCGAACGTCCGCTTCTCAGACTCCAGCTGCCAGGCGTCAACGGTAAGAAGGTCACTTTGTACCTGGAAAGACATTGGAGAAGGCTGAAAGTAAGCCGAGGAAGGCCGTTTGAGCATTTTCCGCATTGCCGACATCTAACTTGGAATGGATCATGGGCAGATCTGTACATACTGCGCTATCCAGAACAAAAATACATTACGACGCCTCCACATCCTCCCCTAGCCTAGCTCTCTTGACCGGCCTGCCATCTTGCAAATCTTCTACAGCCACATCCTGGAAGTCCTGGCGCAGGCTCTCCGACAAAATCTTCACAGATGACCGCCGGACACTGCTTACCGGACTGGGCAAGCATGGGGTGGGGTTCAAATAAGGGAAAGTCTGTGCACGGGACATGAGCCATGAATGTGGTCTAGGCCGTCTCCTCCGGGTGCGACAAGGTTGCCACCACCCGGTCACCTCAGGGCCCATCCACCGCAGTTGGATCCACAAGCCCTGTGACATCAACGATTGCTCTGCGCTGGATCCTACCACTGTGCAATGTTGGCAAAAGCCGGCTCTTGCTCTCGCATTGGCAAGCGTAGGCAACATGTAGCTACGATGGCCAGGTGTGCAGAGTAACCAGCCAGGAACGGACTTGTGGCTCAAGCCTCCTTCTGTGCGGCGGGCTCCTTCTCGATCACACCTAGTGTCAGATCAGGCAGATCAGGCATTGACATATTATTAGCGCGCAGTCAGCAGCTTGCACACAATATAGTAGTTTATATTTCAATTTCCATTTTCTTCTCCATTATCCCAGTATATGAAATACACTGAAAATTACGTTGCTTTGCCTCTCTCTCACTCAGGAGGCCCAAGTGCAGCTCAGAACACATCCACGATCCAACAAATGTGCTTCTTCTGGGGCATCCACGCAAATACCCACAGAAACGAAGGATTGTTGACCTGGCAGTAAGCAGGCAAAGATCGAGATAAAGCAGCGCCCATTACAATCACACGAAATCTGAATATCAGAACATCACATCTGCATCATCTGCAACACTTCTTGAATGCAAGAGGAAATGCGGGCAAAAGCTCTGGGCAGCTGACCTTGAGCACTCCAAGCCCAGGTCCCTGCAATTTGACGTAGCATGGAAGGCTTCAGCAAGAGCTCGGACTTGGAGCCCAGGTCAACAACTCCCATGCTCTGCTGTCGGGTGCTACCCTACGTCTGCAAGAATCCCAGTTTTGCTTCCGCGCCTTCGCAAAGCTCATGGAGGCGTAGGTGGATTCTGGGCGGCAAGGGTATCGTTATAGTGCGCTAAAGCAACTCCTTCTTCTGCACCAGCGCGTGCTTGGGTCTGATATGGCAAACATACACTTGAAGTGACAGCCCGGTTTGGCTGAGACTGCGACTTTCGCCAACTTGGCCCCATTCCGGAATCTTCTCCCCGAAGTCTGTGTCCCCAAGCCTGCCCAAAGAGCAGGCTGCCCCTTACCGGCGTGCACGAAGCAGTGCTAAGCTGCTATGCCATGCAGAGCAGTCCACTCGGACGCGCCGGTGAGTACAGCAGAACATAGCCTGAAGCGCACGACGGCGTCTGCACGCAGGAGGAAGACACCTTCCATCGGTGCACCATCCGGGTCCTGCGACAAGCACAGGCTGGCGGTCTTCTTCCCACACAGCTGTCTGACGAGATGGCTAGCCAACTTTACTCCGGACCATTTGTCCGCATTCCAGCAGAAAGTAGCTCAAAAATCCTTTGCTTGACCAACTTGGATAACAAGGAAAAGCAAATTGCTAAGGACATTGAGGTGTCCTCTTGATTTGGTGCGTAGGGACACACCTGACCTTACGCAGCTGCAGGCATCGAACATCTCTGAGTCCATTGCTGGGATGCTCAGGTAGGGCTGTATGCCACCAGGGTGATCACTCCCTGATCTCACAAGGTCCACTTACTTCCACATTAAGGTTGACAGCTGATTGAAAAGAAGGTTCCCTCACACCTATGAGCGCGTTGGATTCTGTTGGGTCGTTAACGGTCTCTGTCTCTAGCCATGTCCCTGAGTCCAGCACCCTGGATCTCCTGAAGCTGGTTCTCCAGCGTCTGCAACCAGCCAGCAATCGCTTGAATGATGTCCGTGGATCAAAGATAGGCAATTCCGGGAACAAATTGCAGCTGGCAAAAAACTCTCCCCATAAAGACTTACAACGAGCACTTCAGACTAGAGCTCACGTATGCACCCAGACCTGCACTTTGGACTGCACCATGAAGTCAATCTGGTTGAGAAGCTCTTGCTGTCTCGCCTGTCTTCACTGACTGACTGCTAGCAGCGGGGAGGGTCTTGTACATGCCATTCATGCCAAAGTTACATCCTGACTGTGCGAGCAGCAGGATTGGCCGTTGCGTAGGATTCATCTTGCCTGCAGCGCTTGGATGCGCTCCGAGACAGCTGCTGCAACCTGCCAGTCGCAACCAAGCATAGTACGCCGATATTCCCAAACTACTTATCTAGGCCTTCACCTTGGATTTCATACTGCACATAGCCGCATCACGACGCTAGCCAGTTTGTTGAAGTCTGCAAGTATCACCCTGGCGAAGAAAGAGTCATAATGCGAATTCATCATGGCCTCATTCCGGACCTTCTCTGCCTCATTGTGCGTCTCTGCAATGACCCGCCTGACAAATTGCTTGACGGACCAGAGCTTGCAGAATGGATACTGCTGATGGCAGTCCAGACCTCACCACCTCTTCAGCGCTCTCCGCATTGCAGTACAGCCCATCGATGCCTTTCACGCCATGGGACAAACTTCAGAACAGCTACCCTACCAATGATAATCCCCTAAACCCAATGGAGTATATATGTTGTGGTTATACTAGGGATAGTGGAAAAGAAATGGAAACTACTATAGTATAAAGGGTTATACTATACTTCCTGTTCCTGCATGTTCACACCCAAAGCTTCTGCCAAGTTGCGTCGAGCCATTGCCACTGCGGGCGAGGTGAGGGTCCCTGAGCTCGGTACATATACCCCACATAAGCCACCATATTGGGTTTAGGGTTTAGGGTTTAGGGAAAATGGAGACTACTGTAGTATATTAGGGTCATATACCCACATAAGCCACCATGTTGGGATTCTATTGGGATGATGGAAAAGACAATGGAGACTAGTATATTGGGGTTATATACCCACATACGCCACCATGTTGGGATTCTATTGGGATAATGGAAAAGATAATGGAGACTACTGTAGTATATTGGGGTTATATACCCACATAATCCACCATATTGGGATTCTATTGGGATAGTGGAAAAGAAGATGGAGACTACTATAGTATATTGGGGTTATATACCCACATAAGCCACCATGTTGGGAATCTATTAGGAAAATGGAAAAGAATATGGAGACTACTATAGTATATTGGGGTTATATTGGATGCTTTACCCAGGCAGCCAAAAGCTCACTGTTGGTTTGATGCACACAAGATGCTGACTAAATCAGCAAGCACGTGTCTCTGCCAAATGTGCGATGCAAAGTGCACTGTCAGCAGCGTTGCCGCCCTGAACCACAAAATAAACATGATGACTCATGACTCGAAGGAGCCATCAAGCTTGTCAGGCTCGAAGATGTCCATCAGACTTGGAAAGCTTTTCTGCCTCCAATGTTGTCTGGGTTTGTCTTGGCTTCCGGCAGAAGCCGGGCCAGGCTCGTGACTCCCACAACCCCTTTGGCACTGTGGGCCACACAGGCGGCGCGGCGGTAGGCAAAATGACTTCCATGACCCTGCAAACCTAGCAAGCCAGGACTTGATGATCACAAGAAAACCGAAAACCAGTGATCACAAACGACCTTATCGGGCAGCACTGACTTGCCCATCTTGCCTAAAATCTAGACCACAAACTAGGATGGAGTTGGCTTGCACCAGCGAGCGGGCTGAAAGAGACAGCGTGCAAGCACTGAACTATCTGAGGAAGCATTGATTGCTGCCTCGGCCACTGCGCGACCTGCGGCCTGTCGTAGCACTTTCAATGCATCCCAACCGCCTAATCATGTTCAGGTCAACCATGACCCAATCGGTTGCAACTCTATCACACTTGTCATCTTGTCCTCCACAGCTACATTCATGTTTCCCGCAAGCCTTGGAAATTGAACTTGCATTTGCAACCCAGCTCGACAGGGACTGTAGATGTGGGCTAAAGCAAACCACATCTTCGTCAGGCTGTCAAGCTCTTGAAGGGTGTGAATATTAAAGGGACTACAGACGTCAGAGACCTGCTAGGCCCCAGGCCTCAACCAGCTCCCGGCGCTCAAGGGGACGACGCTCCTCCAAGCTCTGTAGAGCATCCTGAACCTGCAAAGAGAGCTGAGCATGGCAAAGGTTTCTTGTTGGGTGCTGAATAGTTTTCTCCTTCAGCTTGCGTAAGCCACGTTGCGGCATGCAGAAACTGCGGCGATTTTGTACAGATAGGAGCACTTCTCGTAAGAAATCGAAGCCGAGTCTGCAACAAACAGGGTTTTTATGCGAGGCTATGCGAGGCAAACCCGCTGCGGCTGCACCAGCATGTCACACGCCTTCTTCAAGAGGTTCTGCTCCTCGGCTTGCCTCGCTGCAAGGCTTCATGTTCGCTTCGCAACGTGGCTTGGTGTCGCTTAAGCTGTGCGGTTCTTTGCGTTCAACCACTTCGTGCACGCCACAAGACTTTGTATGCGGCGTGCTTGGAGTGGAGGCTGCGTTGTTAAATTTGGAAATCTTTCTCTGGCACGGAACCTGAACATTTCGGCACGGGGCAGACTACGGGGCCAACTACTCAAAGGCTCAAGCACACGGCAGATTTGCAAGCCATCTTATTCAAGAACCTGCAAGACAGCGCATGTGCTGCGTTCCGCTGCACACTATCTAGCAGCTATTGCATAAGCGCCATTTGGATTCGATTGGCATCTGGCTGAGAGTCTCTTGGCTGCAAATTTGAACGCATTCACGGCGTTGACCAATGATTGTCAGCTAACACGCTAACAGATTCTAGCACTATCCATAGTCGTTAGGGCTACTGAGCTGGATGGTTGCCCATTATCCACAGTATGGCAGGCCCACTTGAATGTTTCTTGCCAATCATCCATCTCTGGTACAAGGCGCGCCGGGTTCCATGGATGTCACTTGCCATGGTGGAGATTCTCTGAAGTGCAGATGCGGGTGTTTGTCTAGCAGGTATGAGGGGCAGGCAACCTGGATACCTCATGATACCTCGCTCCCGGCCTCCGCATCGCGGCGCTGACGATGGCCTTCCACAGATGCTGCAAGAGCAAGAGCAAGCCCGTGAAGACAGAAGGCAGCAGAGGAGTTCGGACAGCAAGGCGAGAAAGGCCAAGACCCTGAAGCGGCCTCATTGAGTTGCTGTACTGCGTCCGCCTGCACTTTCAGCAATCACCCAAACACTACCAATCGAGCCGAATGTTAGACAGGAGACATTTTCGCTGCAGCTTCATATGCTATAATCCACTATAATATATGATAATCTACTGCACTACATCCATTTTGATGTTTCTGTGCTCGGCTCCTAGCCTGTGAGTGGGAGTCGACATTGACGGCATCCTCAAACCTGATGCTCAGATTCGCATTTGAACTATAGTGCACACTCCGAATATCCCCCTTATAGACTATGGCTCACGTCTTGTAGTGCTGCTGTACTGCTGGTACAGACCTCAGCATACCTCAAGTAAATTTTACTGCAACTGTGTTGATTCATTTCAGGCTCACAAAACAGGACGCCACCTATAGTCCTCCTTAAGTAGATAGAATATGGAGTCTACTTAAGGGGGACTATATGGGTGGTTGTCAAAAGTATGGTCCCTTTTCGGATCCCTATTATAATACGGCACTTAATATCTAGGGTACCCAAAAAGGGACCACAATTTTGACAACCACCCACTTTATCTACCCCCTATAACCCCTATACAGTTGTAGTTGCCATGTTCTTTTCCATTATCCCTATATAACCCCTATATAACCGCAATTTTCACCTGATAATTCCTATTTATGCATTTACGGACATCCCTGCCTCCTGAGCCGTGAGACAACGTCCTCCTCTGTCTGTGCGCAGCGGCAGCGCTCAGCCACTACCTGTCACACTTCTGTTAACAACAGTCAAAGGCTCTAAGGGCAACAATCCTTCGTCTAGAATCGGGAAGTTCTCACTTCCAAATGAGAAGCTGACCTTGCTCTTTCTAAATGAGCAAGCGATGGTGGGCGGTGATGGAGGAATGCCATGAATCGTTCTGAATCCTCTGATGCACGGGCATGTTCCCAAAAGTATGCAGCTTCGCATTGAGATCCAGATACGCATGAAGATGATTTGTTGAGATGCCAGAGCCTCGGCCGACAGCGCCCGAGAAGCGCGTTGCAGGGCTGAGTGCGATTCAGCAAAGCCATGGCCAACAGAGGCCTTCGCAGCAGGACACAGTTCAGACTTTGGACTCCGGCTGCAGGTACTCCTGGAAGATGTCTAAGCTTTGGAGCAGCCCGTACAGTAGCTGCGTGAGAGAATAGCACGATGCCCAATCGAACTGGAAAAGGATTTGCACGCATCGATTCCTGCAGTCCCTTCTTAAGTAAGGCTCGCCCACAATGTATCCTTCGTCGGACCGAGTTTCACTGGCAGCCACATGCTTCCGATCTACTTACTCAAAATAATCCCGCAGAGAACCTCCAGCTCGCTGCTGGAAGCTGCTACCCACTGCATGCGACGTTCCAATGTCTCCTGTCAAGCCAGGACGTGGATGATGGATGGGGTGGACCCATGCTGACCATGCTGATCACTGGATGGTTGCTGTGTCCTCGACACCACGAACGCCAGCAGCCAGCCGCGAATTCTGCCAAGTAGCTGCTTGGGCCTGTGTAGCACAGCATGCATCAAGCGGAGTCTGCCTCTTTTTGCAGGGCATGTTTGCAATGTCGTTCTCATGCACTGTGACAGAGTTGTTGTCGACCCGCAGACAAGATCTTACAGCAAACGCTCCCTCCAGTGTACCGTACAGCATGATCCTAACACAGGGCCGCCCGGATGCACATAACATAAATTGTCTTGGCAATGTCACTTTGGATCTCAAGCACGTCCCTTGCCTCCGACTCGGCCTCGCGTGCGCAGCGAAGCCAACAAGTATTTTGCAAGGAAACGAACGAGTTTTTTCAATAACGAATTACTGCTGGAGCGGCAGATTAAGCAGATGGAGCCTGCGAAGGAAACAAAGACAATGTGTGCCCCCAACCCCCCCCCCGCTACTCAGCTCATTGTGGCCTCTCTGAGCTAGAGGCATGTCCCGCAAGTTTCAGGACCTTCGCGTGCTCTGATTGAAAGTTCCTCTCCGCCTAAGGTGCTCCAATGACAAAGCCACTAGACTTGAAGGATGTGTAGAGGACCCTCCACAACCTGGGCGCCGGCTTCTGCCAAGCCGGTCTTCGTCTCGGCATGTTGCGTGCGGAGGCCTGCAATCGCCTCAAGTCAGCCATTCTGAGCGAAAAGAAGCACTGGAAAAAATACGAACATGTCATTGCAGCCATTGCGGAGGAACTTGCAAGGAAGATTGGAACGTGGCCTCCGCTGACAGTGATTGAACCTGCCAGCTCTTTTGCTGGGCCAAAGCTCGAAGTGCGAGGCACTTTCCGGAAAGCTCTGTTTACAAGGATCTCACAGGTAAGTCTGACAGTACGCACTTGTGGTTCAGCCTTGATGAAGCCCTCGCGCACCGCGCTCGCAACCTGGAAACGCACAGCGCCCGCAGAACTCAAAACAAAAACGGTGTGCAAAAAGCTTTGGCGCAGGAATTCTGCAGCGTGCCTCCTGCGAGCTGCGCTTCAACGTCAGGACCTCTTGCTGCGCCGCACGAGCCTGCAGAATCGAGCCATCTTACAGGACAGCAAGCAGCACAAGTGAGATGTCAACCTTTGAGTTGCAGTACGGCAGGTCAGAACATTGCAAACACCGCAGCAATGTGTTTCCGTCTGCAGCTTCTGATACAACATGCCGCCTCTGGATCCGGATCTTGAATCAAACTTGGGGACAGGGACTGGGACGAAAGCTAGAGCAGAGTGGTAGACCCCAACATGTTCGATTGAAATGGCTGTCAGAGTACAGGCGCGGAAGATGAAAGTCCAACTGTGTTGGGTCAGATAATGCAATGCAATGAGAGGTTGGAAGGGTCAGCGGGCGCCAGGATGATCCGCACAGTTCTTTTGCAGCCAAACTGCGAGCGTGAAAGAACTTTTTAGCAGGCCCACCATGGAACCGCACCAAATCTTCGCTTGAAACCCGACACAACAGCACAGTCAGGGAAGCCACCAAGTATCAACAAGTCATGAATGCACCTGAGGTATCAGCCTGCAAGGCGGTGTCCACATAAACATCTTTTTTGGGCAGAAACCACGTGTTCTTTATGTGTTCTTTTAGGTTGGCTACGGTGTTCTCTGTAGCTTTTCTACATGTTCTTTATATGTTCTCTTAGGGTCCTAAGAGAGTCAGAACACAACCCCCTGGTCCCACGACCGAATCCCTCCCTACCCTGCTGTCTGGCTGCCAGAACCCTCAAACCTGCCTACCCCCTGGAGCACCCATACCCCACACCCCTTGTTGCAAGCTAACGTTTGATAAAGAACTCAAGCTAGACCCGGAGGCTAGCTTTCGTAGCTTTCGTGACATGCTCACTGGCTGGAGTATTCAAGGCCTTAGCCTTAGCAGCCTTAGCAAAATTGAACGAAGTCTTATGACAAGTCCTCCATGACATAAACTGGCGCAGTGATCTCATGGCTTGGGCGGTGCACGCCAACAGACCTATGTTGCCTGGCTAACAACCTCCTCCCAGAGCGTTCGACAAGGAGATGCTCAACATAGTCAAGTAAACTTCTTGTATATAAGGTATGACAGATTCAGCTCGAAACGTTCAGGAACAATGAGCTAGGCCGAACTGAATGAATAGCACATACACTTGGCCAACACCAGCATGTGAAAATCCCGAAGTAGGCTGATCAGCTGGCCTCGGAGCTTAGTGCTTCCATTTCCGTTCGCAAAGAGACAGTTGCCTTGCAGGAAGCAGTGAGCTTCAGATTGCAGGCTCAGAGCTGCCGGGCAGTCAGAATCTTCCGGCGCCGCGCTCAGCAAATCAATTCACGACTCCCAAACCACGCCTCAGAGGATGATGCTTTGGCATCCTGCAGAAATAAAGCTTCGCCATCACAACATGCAGCCTCAGAAATTCCTGCACGCTACATCACATCCCAGGAATCCTCAAGTCCCACTCGGAGCGCGTCATCTGCCTCAACATCAGGGCTGGCCAGCGACTGTCTCAGACAGCTTCAGCTTAAGGAGCTGAGTTCACTTGAGGCGAATGGCGGCAAACTTGACTCAAAGCACCCCAGGCTTTTGCACCTCCATCAGGGATCCTCGCAGCCCTGTGATCTGGCTGCAAAGCTGCATGTCGGCCTCAGTGGCTTTGCAGTGTGTCCAACCTTGAGCAAACAAAAAAAGTTTCCAGACAGTAGGCACTCAAACCTGCAGGAATCATCTCACACCAGCTGTGATCACCGATCGAGAATGCCCAGTGCGACAAGTGGTGTCCCGCCTCCACCAAGGAAGCTTTGTTCTCGGAAAGCTCAGCCCGCAGAAGCGAGCTCACCTGGTGCGGTGCAGGGTTTGGGGCAGAACACGCCTGGCATCAGGACACCGCTTTAACCCTCGTATGATGAGATGCAGAAGGTGACCCAACTGTAATCCTTGGGGCCTCAGCTGCTCCGCCCTGGAGCTGGCTCAGCTCCTCCCGCAGCAGCTTAAGCGCCTGGCAAAGCGTTAGCTACACGTGATCATCATTCCGCGCACTCAGAAGTGCGATTGCCATTAGACTGTTGAGGACGATGATGATCAGGATGATGATGATTATCAATTATGATGACGACGTCACACCATAGCGCAGGTTCAAACAGCTATACTGTAACAGTGGCTTGCAAACGTTTTTGCAGAGGCTGGTCATGCCGATTGTGGTAGCCCGGTTGCAAGCAATCTTTGCTCATAGCTTCCAGTGGGGCAGGACTTGACCCCAGGTTGCCTTTTAGCTGGATGTTTGAGACACAAGCCACAAGGCAAGTTTTGCAGATTGCAGATCTTCGAGTTTTATCATGGGTCGCTCCAAGGTGTGTCATGCCCGCACCTGATCAAGATGCCCTTCTGCAGCACCTCGACCGACCTGACGGCTCCACCCTTTAGTCTTAAATTCACTCTAAGCCAGCCATCTTCAATAAGCGATCAAATGTGGAATGTCTTCGTGAACGAGACGTGCCCCGAACAGCCAGGGTTCCTTCCGAAGCATTTGCAATCAGGAATCAGAACTCCTCAGCACCCCGCCCGACTCGCCACCTCGCTGGCCAGTTCCTCGGCCTGGCCAACCATGGGACCAAAGACCCACCAAATGATAACGACAAACGGGCTTCATGTTTGCAAGCAGACAGAGCGAGCCTTCTGCTCCGAGAGCTGCATACTGCTACGCACCTGGAAGTAGTACGATGCTGCAGGGACATCTCCCTCCTACTTTTTGTGAGACTTCCTGCTATCTCCTTGTCAGCTTTCAGATGCCATACAGGAAGCCCAAGCTTGCTGAATAGGCTGGATGCTCCGAGGTCAAAGAGAAGATAAGCAGAATGGTGCAAGCAGTACTTCATGTCTTGCTGCGAGTGTCTGTAACTCACTTGTATTCACGCCCGCCTGCGCAGTCAAGTCATGCGTGGCGGCATCCAGCGATGCCTTCACATGATTGCGAGGATGAGCATGTACTCTGTTTCTTACACTTGTTAGGCCCATCACATACCTGATCTAGGATTGGATTGCGGGGTGCAGCAGAGCCTCCATGCTGCGATGCTCGGCTGCCTGGCTCTGCGCCTTGGCTTGCGAGGGAGAGGGAACAAACGATGCCTGGGCTTATGACTCTGGGCTTAAAACCATGGGCCCCTAGTATGGGCCGCCCTTAACCCTGGGTGTCCTTATATACCTACTATATACCCTGTACCTGCCCTCAAGGGTTCCTACACCCCCTTGGGCATCCTTGAGGTTAGGCCGGAGTGGGCATATTGAAATCTGGTGGATGGACGGTCAATTTTCAATACGACTACCCATGGCCTGGGTGCAAGAGACAATGCATGAACTGCAGGGTCTGCTGTGCTGTGTCGATTTGCCTACAGCATGTGACAGCACACGCACGTTCTGTGCCAAAATTTCAAGCCTCAAGCATCGCCAGCTGTTGATGACAAAATAAGACTAGAATGATACAAGCTCTACAAGTTAATTACTCAGCATCTCCTGGGGCCAGAGCTCTCTCTTCTTGCCGCTGCATCTCGCGGCGGGCTCTGTCAAGCAAAGCCTCTGCAGAACCCATGCAGCCTTCATGTTCTACAGGAGGCTAAATATTCAGGGCTTGGCTAGGCAAACTGCATCTTCCAGCAACAGCTAGCCAAATGTTTCCTCCACTCAGCCAGAGGCAAATGCAGCCAACTATGTGCACCAGCTGCTGTCGTTGGTCCTAGCTTTGTACAATGCAGAGGATTGCTTGGGCACTGCCCTTCCTTCAGATAGACGGAGAGCTGCAAAAGAACATGTGCTGCTTTTTTGTCTGACATGAAACTTTGCATGAATTTGAAGCGAGGCAGTCCTGATGAAGAACTCATAAAAATCCCCGTCCCTACTGTGAGAGCCTCTGGTTGCCGTCTCCCACTGACTGAAATACGCTTCGTCCGAAAGATCTTTTTGCATCGAGACATCTTTGTATCATGGGGGAGTGAGTACAACCTTCCAAGTAGCCCAACCGGAGAAGGATAATTTGCTTGTGAAAGTAAGTGTGGCCATCGCCACTTCGAGGTCGAAAGGAACGTGCCCAATGCTACTGGGGAGCCAAGCTCTTTATCGAATTGCGCAGATCTGTCTTCATCCCCTCACCCTAGCCACGACTCGAGCACCCTCATGACGGCAAACTGGGCAAATGCGTTGGCCCGAAGCTGCCCACTGATCTACCTCAGCTACCAGGAGCTTGAGCTGCTCCAGGCTGATGTCTTTAATCCATGCGATCAAGCTTTGCATAAACTTACATTGATTCGCTGTGCTGGCAAGAGTCGCAGCCACCCCAGCACAGGCATGCGTGGCCACAATCTAATGCCGCCACGCAATGAGATCCGTCTCCGAATCCTTCATGACAAAGAACGCACATGTCGGACAGGTACATGTCGAACACATCGCTGCTCGAGTCCGCTGCAGTGGCAGTGCCCAGGACCTTTCCACGCAGCTGGCCGAGCTTGTGCCCAACGTATTCCCCCAGCTGAGCCCCAACAACCATCTGTATAGAGGCTCCGACAAGCCCGGTTCCAAGAACTGGCACCCGCTGCAGGGCAGAGCCTATGACATCAGCGACTCCTCGGCAGGGTGCCGAGCGGGACACCAACCAAGCTGCCGTGAGGACGACACCATGCGTCACCATGGAAGCGGCTGCTCCTCCCTGTTGCTCTGCAGCATGACGCTCAGGAGCAAAGAAGGAGTTCATTGCGCCGGAGAAGAAGCCAACCAGGAAGTTGGATCCAACTCCACTTGCCGGCCCGGTGGAAGAATCCAAAGGCTCCACGCCGGGTGCTTCTGCAACATCAGCTGCGGCTTCACTGAAGTTTGGCTCTGGGAGGCTCTCTGGGATGGCTTCTCCGACTGCTGGCTCGATGATTCCATGAGTCGAGGGGGCCACGTACCTCAGGTGCATCAACAGAAAGCAGCATGCAGCATGAGGCATGCAGAAAGAAGACTGAATTCCATAGGATTCCCTCCGCCGAATGTTAAATCCAGGCGTCCTCTCCGGAGGGCAGCGTGTGAGGAGGGCCGAGGTGCTGCGTGCGAACTCCTCGCTGCAAAAGCAATTGTTGCATTGGAGATTGGCATGCAAACGCCGAGAGAAAAAGCTGAGGCATGCTGAGGCTTTGCTGTACTTTGTGGGGGGGCTGTGGGGCCGCACCTGGGCCAGTACGCTGCTGGGACTCCACAGCCGTGCAGGCAGCGACATGATGCCAACGCCCGTCGCCAAATTAAGCTGATGCTTGAGCCGTCAGGATCCGTCAGGTTTACGAGCATCCTTCATGCAATCAGCGTGCAGGTTGGGATGGATTTGCAGGCGGATCGTGCTAGCAGCACAGGCCTCAGCCATCTCCTGCAGCGACTTCTTTGCCTGATCGTTCTGCGCAAGCCCAAAGGCCACCTCCTTCTGAACCCATCTTACGTGGTACCCGTAGAGTGAGATGCACAGAACATCATGGCTACTATGGACGCCACCTGTAATCCAGATAGAAAGTAAATCCAGCCCAAGCAACTGAATACCGCGGTAGACTAGGCTTATGAAGTACAATCTGGACTGGACGGTACACATGACGTGAGAATGCCCTGGCCTTCTCAAAGTCATCTGGAGGGGCAGGGCCGCGACGGCATCCAGCGGAGTGCTGGACGTGGCAGATAGGATAACGAGGATGGCCGAATAAGTCTTGGTGTATCTCAATGTGCTAAGTGCAGGGTCAAGTTGCGAAAACATGTGGCATCAGTGTTGCAGAGTGAAGCGCCTTCCTGCCTGTGCACAGCACAGTCCCCTGCAGGCCTCGCCAGCCATGCTGCAGGTCGGTACCGCCAGCAACCTCCGCCGCAGCTCACTTGCCTGAGCAAAGACAAGCTTACAAGCCTTTCAAATTATATCCTACCAGATCTCTTCATTCCAACGTGCCAGACAAGATCATCTATGATACTTCTGATATGATAACTTGGGCTGGCCTCCCTCTCGAGTGCGATGAGACGAGGTTTTGCCTACAAGTGGATGGATGCCCCCACAAGCACACAATGCATGAACCAGCCTTCAGCGTCAGCAGCTCCGTGACATCAAGGCGAAGGTCCTGGCCATCCAGGATGGTTCTTAGGAATTGTGTACTCCCCTACACGGTCGGACAAAATCAAAAAAGGGTCGGGAATGCAAGGAAAAGCAGAACTGCAGCGGATTCAGATGAGCCCACAGCAAAATCCTAGACCCGACCGTTCCAATCTTCCTTACCTTATTCGTACCGCTTTTGGACAGTCACGTTATCGTTTTGCAGGGTTTGGAGACTTTGCATGAAGAATCTTATCGCTACGCAGGATTTGGGGCACCTCGGACACACGACCTAGAATTATCGCTTTGGCCGTCACCATATTGTTTTGCAAGGTAAACGACAAACTTCAACGCGCCAACTGGGTCCAAGACTATAATATGGCTGTACGCAGTCTATTGCCTATTGCTCACATCCTTGACCTGCGCTTCCAGGTTTGCAGCCTCAGCGGAGGTCTTGCTTCTAAAGGTCTTTGCGCTCAAGGTTGTCTGAGGGTTACGAGTTTGGTGCTTGGGGTGGCAAGCCATCCAGGATCAATGTCTTGGCCTAACCGCGGGAGGTCCAGCAAAAATGCAAACTTTCAAAGCGACGCTGAAGGAAGGAAATGTGTCTGCGCGAAACGCGGCTGTAGAAGAATGTAGTCGGTGTGCTAGGTTTTCCGGCAGAACGTCTTGATAGCAAACCTCAAGCACTCTGCACCAGTACTGGCACCAGGTATCAGAACTCACTTAGTTACACTCTAACAGCATACCTTTTCATATCGAAATCCTGTTGAAGACTGCGCTGGCACTTTCGATGGCTGCATGCCCGGCCCCTTGGCTTCTGGCAAGACCATCTCTAGTGCTCTCTTGCTCAACCTGACCAGCACAAAGAATTCTCAGACCAAGTCACTCCGATGCTAAGGTCAAGCCCTTTTTGGCTCTGACTGCCTCTTGCTACCTACGCGTAACCACAGAACGTCTTGGGGCAACGGCCAAGGCGAGGTCACCCTGACATGTTCCGACAGTTGCTTTCTTACTGGCTGACCTGTGGAAAACTGCAGGCATCACATTGGATGCTGACAGAAGTGCTGAACTGAAGCACCTGTCATGAAGCCAGTAGCCCCGCAGCAATCTTCTTGACGTGACTGATATGAACTCGTGAATGCCAGTATAAGTGGTGATGACACGCCAAGCCCTTCTAACTTCATGACAGCAGTGCTCTCGCTGCGGCATGGCTTACAAAGACTTCCGCTTACCGGCAAGACCACGCCGCAAGTGGTCTCACATTGTGTCCAGCTTAAACAATTGACTTACCTCTGCTTGGCAAAGCATGAAAGGACAGATCCTGCTAGTAGCCATCATAAAGCCCTCCAGCAACATAGTAGTTTCCATTTTCCTTTTTATTATCCCAAGATAGCCCAATATATAAAACACTAGAATGTCGAATCCCGATTAGTGCGGAGTCCCCAATAAAGTAAAGTTTTCGAAAATTATTCTGGGCCCCCTATTCGATTTGCGGGGTCCCAATAAAGTAAAGTTTTTTCGGCCAGCGTAAACTGTTGATCAAGTTCCTGTCTAATTGATGTTGAAAAGTTGTTCTATGATTTTAATTAGATTGTATTTCTTTAACTAGGGTTTCAAGAGCAGGTCGTTTAACGTAAAGGCTGAAGACCCTGCCCTATCCTCTTGAAAGCTAGACCGAGCAAGTCCTTACAGATTCAATAGGAGCCGGAGGATTCCTCTTTCTTTATTGATTTTAATAGGAGCCGTAGGATCCCCCATACCCCCAATTCGTTTGAGGCCTTGTTATCATGGGGGCTCCCCTTTTTGTTTGGGGGGGGCCACACTAATCAGGATCCAACATTAGTAGTTTCCACGGCATTTTCCACTAACCTCCAGATATACTCTGTTATAAGACCGTAGTTTCCAGACTCACCAGAGGTAAGTTGAGCACAGAAGCTGTGCGGCGAGCCAGCGAGGCCATCTCACGCGCCACCGTTTTTTGGATAGCAGTTGAGCGCTAGGCCTTCTGTGGCTCAGTCTATCTGCTCACGCAGGCCATCTGAGAGCAAGGGCATTCACTTCTGCATCTTTTGCTCCTGGATCTTCACCTGATTCTGATACTGACAAGCTCAACAGCCTTCACAGAAGAGGTGTAAAGATGCTACACATCAAAGTTGATAAAGCTGCAGACATGAGGTGCACGGCCTTGTCGACTGTCTGCTGAGCAATGCCTCCAGTGGTGCCGGAAGCCGTCTTCGGGTCAAAGGTTGGCAGCCACTTGTTCCTCCACCAGCAAACAGGCAGCATGAAGCGAGGCACGTGGAAGTTGCAAGGCAGGTGATCCTCTCTGGACGTGACCCTCGTTCATTGCCTCTATTCCCGCTGTCCTAAACCATTCGATGGTATCTGGCCACCCATCCTTGTAGGAAACCACCTTGGCCGATGCAGCTTGGATTCTAGATACGATACGTACGACGCTGCGTACCACGTCCAGCCAATTGCTCCAAGTCCCAACTTCTACAGTTAGCTACAACCGCTCCTTCCGCAGACAAGGTGCGGGTTGATAGCCCAAGTCGTTTTGAGCAGCTGTAATGCGGAACCACCTGTGTGTTTGCACGTCTGCGAGAGCTAGTTCTGTTGCCCTGGTATTGGACGGCTCGTGTGCTTGTAAAGCTTGTAGACATTCAGCCTGTGCATGGTCAGCATCCGCAGGGTGAACCAACCAAGCTTCAGCTTTTTGCCCGTCATGGTGCTGATGACATCACAAATGAATGCAATGATCCTGCATTCACGCAGCAGGCTCTTCTATACATCTGTGGTGTCATCTGTGGTGTGCGGCAGACAGCTTGGAGTTGGGCGCTGCGTATTTAGTAACGTGTGCTAGGGCAGCATGAAAACGCAAGTCCTCAGCAGGAAGTAAGGAAGAGCTGTCTTACCTTGGAGGTCGCCGCAGCATCTGCAAGTGCGCTTTGTTCACACTCAATGCGCTGGATGTGCCCTAAATGTGAATCCATGCCATGCCGGACGCCTATGCATGCAAACAACTTCATGATCTTGCATGGCTGCATGGCGGCCGCACATAGCAGCTTGAGGAACTTTGGTCTGGCGTGCCAAATAAGATGCTGTCCACCAAGGCACTGTACAAGGAGTCGAAGCCCATGCCAGTAACTGCCTGCCATGACCAGGCTACCCTCAACCTTGCACTTCTTCAAAAAAATACATTCTGCTACAATATGAACACGCGGACAGAAGGGCAGAGTATCGTCATAGTTGCATGACTTGAGGATAAACAAATGCACGAGCACAAGTAGTAGCCATTTGCCAAAGGTACATGTTGAGCGGGTCACACACTTCCCCGAAGATCCCCAGAGCCTGGTCGAGCTCTTCCCAGAAGACGCTATAGCCCTGCATGCACCATGTTGTCTTGAGACACAAAGCGCAAAGTTGCAAACGTCCCCTGTCTTGCGTTGAACTCTAGGCCTCCGCATGCGGATGGGTCGGACCATCTGTGCAGACGTAAAACTTGCCTTGGGCTCTGTGGCTGCTTCATTGCAAATACCAAATCGTTGTTCCGGGCATGTATGCATATCTGAGTCGGGCTTGGAACAGGCCGGGGACAGTCTCGGCGGGCAACTGGGAGCTGCGGCTGGAAGCAAAACTCGCAACACGCAGCGTGCCAAATGCTTGCCCTCCAGACATAACAAGCCGAGACACCCAGATGTGGCGACCCCTGGTATAATTGCCTTGAGATCTTGCCGGAAATTCACTCAGGAATTCTGCTAAGCCTTCTCTGCCTTGTGTGGTAGCACCTTTCTGATGTGGGGAGCTGTTGGGTTACCCTGTTTGTCTGTCTTGATGCCAGTCAAGTTCACTGCCATCTTGTCTTAAAGGCAGAAATGCAGCCCAGTCACTTCTCCGCTATAACGAGGCCGTGGCAATAGTTATCCACATGTGTGTACCTTAGCTGCTTCACCATGTGAGGCACGCCCTGCTTTCAGCACGAAGCCATGCTAGACACGATGATGATGATGATGACGACGGTGAAGACGACGATGATCCTTGCTGGCCGCGTCCAGTCCCGCGCTGCAAAAGGCAGAACGAGTCCACGGAGCAAGTAATTGAAACAAAACAGCCCAATCTGAGTGATGCGGCTTTGACAGGTTGTGGGAGAAATACCAAGCTAACGCAATTAGAGGGTTCTGAGAATACCAAGCTACCCTACGCGGCTCGTGCCACTGCCGAAGATACGCAGCTTCCCGACGCCCGCAGCTTCCAGAAGGTTGGGCAAGAAAAGGTTGTCTCCTGGGTTGCTACGCAACTGGCTTCAGTAAACCACCACTTCCGTCTGGTCCATAGGCTCTTCTGAGGCAGGAGCGAGGCCCATAGACAGTGTGAGGTGCAACCTCAGCTTGGCATCAGAAGACTGCGCAGCAAATCATACATAATATAGCTGTTTCAAGGCCGCTGCTGCAACGAAGAGGATCTCATCCTCCTTGCAGGCCTGACACTTCACTACTCTCCACTACCGCAAGAATCACTGCAGACCCCTAGGCCCTAGGCCAGGGGTATGACGTCCCTTTCAGAGCTTCTCGGTCCGAGACCTTGCGCAGAAGGAGCTCTCCTTCTGCCTTGGTAGCCGAGTATTCGGCCACGTAGCACTCCTGCCCCATCAAAGCCCGTTGGAGTGTAAGGAATATGAGAATATAATCGCAATATAACCCCTGGAATACACAAGGAATATGGGAATATGATCCCTATAAATCCCCCTAATAATATATTCCCCAAAACCCTCTGCAGAAGATCGGACATTGAGGGCAATGAGCACAGACATTTGGAGAGTAGTGTGCAGTCCTGCGGTATGTCAGGCATCTCTGCCTGGCACACTTCTCCACAATCAGAATGACACCAGAGCTCCAACTGAAGGCATTTCCTACACCTACACCGTCCACACTCCTCCTGCTTCACCCAACATACACGACAAGCTGCGGTACTTAGGAGCGTGTGGCCTCAGTCTTGCCGTCCACATCATCTGTGCACGTAAACCTTGAAGATGGAGTTGCGGAGAAAACAAGCTTCCGCACTCCTGCAATCACATTAGGCTTTCAGCTCCGTTGAATTCATCATGAGCAGCCCGAAGATTGCAAATCTTGCAAATTCTGATCCTGCTTGCTGGAGAAAGCGCTACACAGCCCGACGACTGGCTGCAAAGAGCACAAAGACTTCAAGCACTTGTCCTTGCTGCTTGCACGCTTCCAGCACATTCCGCGTCCCGATGACGTTCACCTCCATTGTGCAGCCCCAGCTGGCAGAGGAGGAGGTACATGGCAGCAGTCTGCAAGTAAGCACCGTTATCTTCCGGTTGGGAGGCCGCAAGCAGACAGTCTAAAATTGATTGTGAGACAGGTTCTTTCAGAAAGCCCTCCACGCTGATGCCATCCAGTCGCATTTTTGTAAAAGTGTTTCGGGAGGAATGGGCCGACAGCGGCTGCATTGTGCCAAACGCAGTCGGCACCTTTCAAGGCGCCAACGGGGCTCTGAATGTTCAGCACACACGATACTTAACATGCCCCAAGCAATGCAAGTCGTGCTAAAGCAAACACAGAAGGCAGAGCACCTTCCACGGCTTTCAGAACTGCGTCATAATCGCAGAGGTCCGCCGTGACGTACTTTATGGCCTTCTGAATCATGATAGGGCTGGTCTCTGATGTCTGTGTTGTTGATGCTGACTGGATCTGGTTAAAGTAGCTTCGGCTTCAACCCTCAGCAACCTGGCCTTGTGTTGCCACACGTTCGCCGCAGGAGGCACTATGTCGAAAGAAACCACCTGGAGGCAGCCGCAGACTTTTGGTCTCAAAGTCTACAGCGGCGCTACCATCCCGTTCCATCCCGTTCCATCCCGCTCCCACCTGCTCCGCCCCACGCTCCACCAGCGTCTCCACCAGCCGCTGGCCAACGAAGCCAAGCCCTCCGGTGACCACGCATCGCTTCGGGACCTTAACGACATTCCCACACAAAAATCCAAACAGACTACCCAACAGGTTGTTGTGTTTACATGTGCCCTACAAAGCTGGGTTGCCAGTAGAGCAGAGCAATCCTGCGGCTGTCCTAGCTGAGGCTTACGCAGGCCCGTACTTGCCGCTTTCGTTCGCCTGGCCACCAGACATGCTTTTCTGCTGGACTTGGCCTGCCATCGCGATCGACAGATGCGTGGAACTCATCATCCCTGTTTTGACATCAAAAATGGTCTTGTATAAACCCGCCTTTTCCAACATGTCTCCGGACAAAAGGTGTTGCATAGACCCCCTTTTTTGGCATTCCGATGTTCAGCTTTCGAACCTATTGCAGCACTTCTTGAACCCGATGGCCTTCGAAAGATGCTTCTGTGTCTCTTATGGAGCGCACTGGAGGAGGCTTTAAGGCCAAAAAGTGTGCAAAATACCTTGAAGTTGCTCAGCTTGTCACTCAGCATTTACCGCAGCAGCGCCATCGTACCAAAATGTCAGCTGTGTTGGGCGTTGGAGGGCAGTATGGTAAGAGCTGTAGTGTTGACTCAGCAGTTACACTGAGCGCACAGTCCTTATCTCATCTGACTGTTCAATCTGCTGACGAGCACGGCCTCCTTGATCTTTTTCTGAACAGGCGACAGCTCCTCAGCTGCCAGCTGGGAACTCTAGGTCCATGGTCTATGTACTTCAGGCGTCCTGCATGCCGGTTCAACCCAAAAGTTCTACAGGACGACACTGCAAAGTTTCCAAAGCAAGGAATTGTGGAGTACTGAGATGCTTTGAGGACGGGACAATGACCGTCAACACTCCCAAACACGCTTCAGAAGCGGGCCATGCCCAGGGATCCAAGACGTGAAAAGAGCGTTGCAACGTGATTTTGCAGTCCAGACTCGTAAGCTGTGTACAGCTCAACACGAGGCGCCATGGTTCGCAGGAAACGGCGGCTGAGCAAATGTCGTCGCATTCATGGCTGTAGCTTGCTGGGCTGCCTTTTCCAACAGTACAGGAATGAAGGTGGGCTTGACTTGATGAAGCGTGCAAGCTTACATCCTGTCACGAGCAGGGTACGTGCGAGCAAGAAGGTTAAGACAGTTGCTCCATCCATGATACTGATGGTCCATCTATCGTGCCTTGAGAAGGCGAAAGCTGCACGTACAATGTCGCATCCCGAGTGGATATCAGCCTGGCACCTCATGTCGAATTAGATACATGATTAGACTGCGTTTGCAGTGCTCACCATGTATCAGTGCAATTGCTCAGTCTTGGCCCTTTCATGTGCCTACAAACATGCGCAGCATCACTGGGAAAACTACGTCGACGCCATGAGCTGCCTCTGCTTGCAAAGCCGCTTCAACCTCAGCACTCATTTCTGCAAGCCCGCCAGTCTGTAGCACAAATAGCGTTGATAGGTAGAAGCAGCATCTGCGTCAGCAAGCCAATCAGCTTCAGTATGTGTCGCCATTTTGCGATCCAGGTGGACAAGAGGGTCTGTACGCGGAACAGCAACAATGACTCCACACCAGCTGCCAGTAGCCAGCCAAGCGCTGGTCGGCAAAAAGCAGTAATAAAGATGCACTACAAATAGCCCGCAGCTCCTCATGAGCGGACTTAGTTTTTCACTGTGACTGAGTCGGCCTCACGACATTCACATGCTTCATAATCTACGAAAATGCTTTGCCCTGGTGTTTGTTGGCAACAGTGGGGTAAATGCTGCGATCCTACTAGTAGAGTTCGAAGCACCCTTGGACCGAGTCGCAAAAGCTTTCAAAAGGTACTGCAACAGCCAGCAGAACAGGAAGCCACTGCGCGTGGACGTGCAGGTAGGAGAGGCAAGGCTTCTCCAACTTCACAGATGGCAGGAAGCCTGCTTCTGCTAGTTTAGTGCAGAAGAGTTGAGGTTCTCAAGAACTCCAGCGTCCCGACACTCTGCTTTCGAATACAGCATCATACAGGGAACAGCTAAGAGCTTATCTGCTGAGAGGGTGCAGACTGGCAGGACAGCTTGAGCCAGTTTCTATATACAGGTATACAGTTGCACAGCCATCCAAAACGGGAAGTCTTCTTCCCGAGCCAGATGTACATCAGAGTCCCAAACCAGAGGCACTGTACAGCCAGTAGTCCGAGAAAACTTGCTACATGCTGTCAGCTCCAAAGCCCCGCACTGCCTGACCTACATTTTGCATCTCTCTTGGACTACTGGGGTCCTCTTGCATAAGCGATCACAAGAGTTTCTCTTTGCAGATTGGCCTGCAACACCTAATGCGGCATTGCCTTCATCCGTTCCTTCCTTTTGCATCGCAGCAATCACAACACAGCATGTTTGTATAATTTGCATAGCTTGGTCCGCACATAGGGCTGACGGCCACTAGACGTCTCACCAATCCGCTTAGCAAAACCTAGCTGTAACTTTCAGTCCAGCTCTCATTGAATTTGGGTATTCTTTGTGCTCATCTTCACCACTTGCCTCGGAGCAGCAAAGCAAGCTGTGCAACTGCCTCCAAGCATGTACAATCTGTGTCAACCTGCTTCCCCCAAACATCCAGCACATATTCTTCTTGGAGGGCTATCTGAAATTGGAGGTCTCTCATGTGTCAATTTCAGCAAGACGGCTGTCCATTGTGCCCACGCGTTCAAACTTCTCCCCCAGGACGACTCCAATCTGCCGTTCCTGTCAGCTCTGCATTTAGAGAACTCTCCAGCAGGCGCTCTGAAAAACTATGCGCCTCCCAGCGGTGCAGGTGGAAAGCCGGCCTGTGCGTAACATGTTGTGACATCCCCTAAACTCTGGGCTGTGCCAGAGCACGTCGGCAGCTTGCAGTCGCACAGAATACAAAGGCAAAATTGCAAAAGCCAGCGCAATGGCCTGCCATGGGCGTAGCGGTAGTTGCAGAACGCGACGATGTCACCCGGCTGCCACTGCACGCGAATGCCGCCATCGTCATACAAGCTAACCCATTGCCGCAACTCCTCTACACTGAACGGAGTCCCATCGCCAAAGGTCATCTGCAGGGGGCGCTTGTCAGGATGCACATCATGAACGCCCTTCCATGTATCAAACCAGGCATTGTGATCTGCGATGCTGCTATACAGGACATTGCGGTCAACTGATGGGCAATATTCGAAGGCGGAGATCACGAGCTTTGTCTTCATGTATCGCTGGGACTCAGGTTTCAGAGGGTCTTGACACCACTCTACGTCAAGTCCACAATCACGGGCTTTCTTTTCTGCTTCCTCAGGTGTCTTAGCCCCAAAGGACAGCTGCCAGTGGTTGTAGACCGCTGCACCTTCCATCCAGCCCTGACCCTCGTATGCTTCACGGTCGGTCAGGCAGCGGATGTAGCACACTCCCAAGTCGCGCAGCTTTCTTCCAAGCTCGGTCTGCATGAGTGAGTCAGTGACGCTCAGGTTCTCAGAAAGGTAGGTGTCGCCCTTGCCCTGCGTCGCCTTGATGCTGCAGAATGCAAGATTCTTCATGCTGTGTTGATTGTAAGCCATCTCGTGGTGGTAGTGGAGCCACGCATCATTTGGGGCGCCCACCTACTGAAAGCACAGGTGGAAGATGCTGACAAGCAGGGTATATACACATACCTGTGTCGTACAGTGAGAAAGCTCAAGGAACAATTTGCCTCAAACACGTTCTGGATGATGCCCTCACGGGGGTTGGCACCCCCTTCATAGGCCATCTGCTTTTTCACCTTGGTGCAGCTAACGAACCGTCACCCCTAAGTATCCCACCTGGCATGAAACCACAGCTGATTCAGCTACCGGTAAGCATGAATCGCAAGCGGTGTTTTCTGAAACTTAGTCCTAGATAACTCCTTGTAAGTGGAGACGGCGCAAAACCCCAGTGTGTCCCTGGGGTCCGCAATTGAGCTCATCATTTTGAGAAACACAACAAGTCCAAAACTCAAATCGCCGGGCCACGACAGCACGCGCATATCTTCGCATTGCCTCTGGGTCCTTCAGACCTGCTGTCCACAGCTGAAGTCAGGTTAAACAGCTCCGACTTTTCCGTTAACCCGCTAAGGTTTTTGGGGGCTTCTCACAGCACGCCACAACTTTCTTTCAGGTATTGTATGCAAGATGATTGGCATGAGGTACTTGCATTTTTGAAAGCTCCACTCACAGACGCTCCACCGAGGCAACATTCTTCCGACATTTCCACGCCAGCAACAGCGTTTGCACACAACAGGGTATCGGTATAGGTATTTTTGGCTCATGCGCACTCTGCCCGTGCTTGGCTAAACATCCGCCCTCCAAATCAAACTTGCATGAGGTTAAGCTCATCCTGCATTGACACCGCAGGCAAATCTGCCCGAGCGTGAGAAGATTCAAGCAGCAACCCCACCTGTGTTGGTCAGCCTCACAACGCCATACCGGTCATAGGTCGACTGCATGCCTGTCACTCATGATGTACATTGGAAGGCCAGGATGCAACTGCAGGCAATAAATGCATAACAAAGCCAAAGCTACGATCAAACAGCTCCATCTCACCCCAAGTTCCTGGCTTGTATGGTCGGCAATCCTCGGCGAATAGTGTATGTCATACATATCAATCTTGCCGAGACAGACAAATTAGATTGTCATATCAGCTTCTCTGCCCCCTGGCAATGACCCGTAACTCCATGCTGCATCGCACACACACCTCTACATGTTCAGCACTGAGTTTGGCAGCCAGCGGCAATAGAAAACATCTCCACGGGAACTTTGTCTTCGCCCTTTCCTCAGCTCGCAACCATTTAGACCCTTCAAGGACCAGCATTGCGTATGAGTACGTTGAGACCAGCTACCTGATCATTGCATTGACTGAGACACTTGCAGGGTCATTCTTTGCAGTTTTCTCTGCATGAAGTCCAAGTTTCTGAAGGCGGGGATGATGCTTGGCGCGCTGACCCAGAATCCGGGCATGCGTCCACCAGGAGGCATACCGCCAGTGAACATGGCTCGCGCCTCGCGACCACAATCATGCACAGGCTGTGCGGATGTCTCTCTGTTGTGCTCAAAGCTGTCAAAGACAACTCAGGCACTAGGTGTCAGCTTACTCTCATTTTTACCTGTCAACCTTGCTGGAGTGCACTCATACTCAATCCGGCACGGAACTGATTTGCTCCTCCCACAAAGCAAGCCTGGTGCGGTCGAAGGCTGCGCAGCGCTGAAAAGGCCATGCTTTCAGTCGCAAGAGAAGTTAAGTCACGGAGGGGCGGTGGCACTCAGACTCTCTTTGAACCAAAGCCTTGCTGGCATGCTTGGAACAAGCGCATTTGCTTCGTGCAAAGCAGCGCAGTACGAACCAGAGTTGTGGAACCACGGCAGCAATACAACACGAACTGAAAGAGTGAGTTCATGACAAAAGCCAGTTCAGCCCCCCCAATACTCTCCACTAACCTCTGAAGCACAAGGCAAGCCAACCAAGACCAAGTCTGCCGCCGCATGCACCGCCTCAGCCATTGTTGCCATACCATGGCGCAGAACAGCCACCTGAAAGAAGGATTAGAAGCCGATAGTTCCGGCAACAACAACCATCATAATGAATGTGCCAATTATACTGGTAAATTCATACTAGCAGCTATTTGTAGCAGAATGGCCGAATTTGATTGTAGATTCAACATAGTTCGGAACGCAAGCGGGATAGAATGGCTTGGCCAAGCTGAAAGACAAAAACTTTCGACTGCTTGCATCATCGCATAGTTGCTCTTCATTTCACACCGTTGCACACTCCTCGGCGCTGCACAAGGACTTTTCTAGCAGGCCAACTTCAACGTGGAATGAAAGGGGTGCCCATCTTACCTTGGATCTGAATCTCTCTTTTCTGCATTTGAAATGCGTGCAGGTTTGTGTCCAACAGGCCACGCTTGTAAGCCGCCTAGTAAGGAGGATCATGGAGGACCTTGTTAGCGGTGACACACAAAAGAATTTGTAGTTTTGACAAGTGTCCATGTTGCAATCCAAGGCCTCCGAGTTCAGCTTTTCCCGGAGCGCCGACATCTCCGCATCCAGGCGGAGGAAGCGCTGCAACAGGGATAACATCCCGCGCAAATGAATTCCACAGATGGATGTTACGCGAGCGAGAGGAGTGCAGGGGATTGACACCGAAGCTCGTTTGATCTAAGTCAAATTTTCGTCAAAAGCTGACAACTCGCCTTCCGAAGTTCACCTGCTTCAGACTGCGGCTGTGAAACAACCACTGAAAGACTGATCCATCGGGTAGCAACAGATGGATGCCACGGCTGTCGACGCACTTACAGGAAACTGACTACCTGGCCTCCTCCAAGCGGAAGATGCTTGCTTCCCAGGTTCGAGTCTGCAACGAGTTGTTTGCAAGGAACGCACAGCAAGATACGAAGCCAAGTGCACCAGTCGAGGAGGAGGAGGAGGAGGAGGACTCGGCACGCGGGTGTACCCGCTGCCTAACGACCGCTTCCCCCGCCAGCATCTCCGGGGGGCTCCGCAAGCGTCATTGCCCCCCTCCGCGACGGGTTCCAACGGCGTACTAGCTTAATGCAGCCAAGTTACGGACCGACACCCAAAAGACATACGGTAAAGAGACTAGGATCCAGGAAGCACAAAAACGCGTACCCCCCCCTGCCCCCCAAAAAACACTACAGAGCCTGCAACCCCCGCCAGTCAACGCCTCCTGGCCCCGCCAAGGAGCAGAGAAGAGTGTACCAGATAACAAACCGAAAAACAAGCAGGAACCCGGGACAGGGCCACCAGCGAACAAAGCGACGCCGCAAAACCCTGGATGAAGAAAACACACCACGACACTCAGCACATAGGAACCGCACGCAGCGAGTAGCATGAGTAGCGCACTCCATGCCAAAGTTTGACCCACCAGACACAAGATGAGGTCAATACCTCCAGACCGTGGCAAGCAACCCAACAGGGACCGACAAGCAAACAGACGGGGCCAAAATTGCAGAAAGCACCCCAGAACACGGAAGAAGCGAACACACCAAAACGACCGTAGACCAAAGCTAACCTCAGGAGGCAGGCAAGAGCCGCAGCGCCGGGAGCAGGCGCCCAACAGCGGCAGCCAGCAAAGGAGCAGAGAAGAGTATACCCCATAACAACGCGAAACAC